GAAGGCTTCATAAAAAATTTGGACTTCAATAACAATGAAAAAGTTAGATGATTCTTTTATAAATATTTGAGCAAGTTTGACTATAAGAAGGAGTTCGAGAAAATATGGGCTGAAATGATCATAGAAGGTAGCCTCCATAGCAATTGTTGGTTAGAGGAGCTTTATAGGATAAGAAATAAGTGTTTAATATCGTTAAATAATGATTATTTTAGCATGGACATTCTATCCACACAGTATAGAGAGTCTACTAATAATGTGTGTTGTGAATTTTCGAAGCCAACAAGTTCAAAAACAGATTATTAATTTTCTGGGCTTGAGAAAGATGACGATGACATGACGCCATAATAAAAAGGCCCTGTAGTTTTTCCCCCTTTTCAGGGGTTTTTCACGTAAAAATATTGGTGTCTCATAAATACTAGACCCTCTCTCTTATCTGATTGCGTGCCAGATTTTCGTACAACGCTAAGACGTTAAACTTTATATTTCTCTACCGCCGCGAATACTCCCGGATGCAACAAAGTTGATACACAATCAATACACAGTCAATACATAATGAATATGTAATAAATACTAAGTTAACACAATATTAATATAAATTGAATAAAAATAATTTATAAATATTTGAAATTTGTGAAACCTAATTTATAAAATATAATATAAAGTTGATACGAAGTCGATACATATTTGATAAACATTCAATGCATAGTTAATAAAAATTTAATATATAGTGAATACGTGGTGACTATCAAGTCAATACATAATACAAGTTTAAAAAAGAGAAAATAATTAAAAAATAACTCATAGATATTTAAAATATATGCAACCTAATTTAGAAAAATGAATACAAATATGATACATAGTCAATATATAGTCAACACATTGAATATGTAGTGAATACAAGCCAATACATGATTAATACAAGTACGGAAAAGAGACAAAATGAACAAAAATAACTCATCTACATATAAAATATGTATAACCTAATTTAGAAAATACAATACAAAGTCGATATGAAGTTGATACACATTCAATACACAGTTAATATAAAATGAACAAAAATAACTTATATACATTTTAAAATCTATGCAACCCAATCTAATAGATGGAATACAATGTTGATATGTAATAACTCGAATCTGTGAAATAAATTTATTTGAAAATATAAATTTTTTGAACTAGAGTGCTTTAACGTTGATCTTGTGAACTTTAAGATGCTAGGCCATGAATATATATATATATATATATATATATACATACTAGCCTCACCCCACCCATCGACTCCCTCACTTGGTTGGTTGACTATGAAGAAATTGAAATATGGGAAGATGAGTGAGTAGAGAGAAAGGTATTTGGATCATATTTGTCAGTCATTCCTATTACATAATTTATTCTATTTATTATAAGTGACTAATCTCTTACTTATATTTTTTATGATTATAATTTCTATGAATGTTATCTCTCATAAATTTGCAAACATTACACTGTCTCCTGATTTCATAAGCTTTCATCGTGCAAGTTTGGATATGTTATAGATTTGTTTATTCTAAATGATTTGATATAATTTTATTATATTTTAAATAAAGTATTGAATGATATCAAATACACTATATGATAACTTTATGTGATACCATACTAATCCACGTGATTCACTGATTATGAGTCATAAGGAGTTGGAGATTGATTAAGAGCTATAAGAAGTCGAGGCGACTAATTCACATTTTTCAAGGGGGAGTTATACAAATTACATTGACTGAGAGTTATAAGGGTAGACTGACAGTGGCGGAGCCAGAAATTTTATTCAGGGGGGGTCTAAATTAAAATAGTTATGTTTGTCGTCTTATCTGAAAAGTTAAAATACATTAAAATAGTTCCGTTTGTGACTTTTTTTTTTGTTGAAAAACAACCAATTTCTTTGAGTTACATTTGTCATACCATGCATTTTATTAACTACACTAGCATCTAATGAATTTCCATTCTCTACAACCAGAATCTTCTAAAAGAGTAAAAAAGTGAGCATAGACAGAAACCTCAATCTCTGTTAATTGTGGAAGTTGAAAATGTTGTTATGGAATAATACATTAGTAAATAACCTAGAAAATATATCCAAAAATTTCAAAACATTTATTGATCAAGCATACCGAACCTGACAAAAAGTTAGTTCTAACCCAATTTCATCCTTGATATTCCAACTGGTAAATAACTTAACCAGTTTAACATCAATAAAGGTAATAGTGCATTTCGATAGGCAAGAATGTACTTTGGATTAAAAAACATGAACCCAAATGCAACTATGGCCATGGTCTACTACAAAAGAGAAGAAACTGCTAGCAAAGAAAAACAACAATCACTTCCCAACAACCTTACCTTAAAATTCCTTAATCCAAGTCTCATGGTCTGTTCTCCAGCCCAAATGCTCCTTGACTACCTGAAGTTTCATCATTCCCACTCGCACTACCTTGCGCATCCCCTGCATTGTTGGCATCAGCTTGAGACCCTAATCCCCTGAATGGCCATGTTAGCGATATCCTAAACCTCCGCTCCACCAGGTTTGACCGTTGCCCATTGGCATTCTGCTCATCAGATCCCGCAAGTGTCCCATTCGAACCACCAGAACCTGCAATATCCATCTCCATAGCCGACGTTGGCGCTTCGTTCATATCACTCTTTCGCTGCTCAGAGTCCTGATCATCCGTTGGGAGCTCATACCGACAAACCGGACCAGAGTTGTGGAGCATGCTTGCAAGGAAGCTGCTTGGCCACCTCCCCCGTCTCAAAAGACTCTTTGCAAACGGCACACTGCGCCTCATCTGAATTTTTTTTAGGGGGGGCAGGTGACCCCTCTGGCCCCCCCTTACCTCCGCCTCTGGAGACTGATCGAGAGTCATAAGTGCGAGAGCAAGATATTCTTAATATATTGAATATCTGAATACTTATACCGACACTGCTATGAATATTGTATTGATATTGTGACTGTCACTAATACTTTTTACTGTCATTAATACTATTTAATGTTATTGATCATGATTCTAATATTATTACTTACATTAGTATTGCTAATTATTACTAATATTGTGACTGATGATGTAATAAATTGAGATGTGAAGAATTATATAATGATAAGTTGATACAGATAATCAATATATGTATTGATGCGTATATTTCTTTATATGATTTATAACATATTGTTCTATTTTATCTTGCATTGATTTTAGTTGTCAGGCTACATGCTCATTACATGGTTTTACATATTTTCAAGAAGGGTAAGGATCATATAACTTGAGGCCTCACATAAGATAATAATGCAATCATATTTCTTCCTAATGTTCATTGGTAAACTCTAGTTAAATGGTTAAAATGAAAGATAAATGTAATTCTTCCAATGTCGATCATGGATTGTGACACGATACACAATTGATGCATAGTCAATATACAGTTAATTCATAATGAATATACAGTGAATATCAAGTCAATACAAAGTAATACAAGTTCCAAAAAAGAGATAAAATAAATAAAAATAACTCATAGATATTTAAAATTCATGCAACCTAATTTAAAAATTGAATACAAAGTTGATACAAAGTCGATATATAATCGATACATAGCAATACCTAGTTAACACACAATTAATACACATTTATCTTGATTGTGTATCAAAGAAATTGTTTCTTACAAGTTCAATTCTTAATGTACATTCGATAAACTATTAATATGCAGTTGATGCACAACTGCTACACAATCAATACCTAGTTAATATATATTTAATATGCAGTTAATACAAGTTCAAAAAAGAAAAACAAAAATGAACAAAAATAACTCAAATACAATGTATGAAATCTATGCAACCTAATTTAGAAAATGAAATGCAATGTAGATACATAATCGATACACACTCAATACACAGTCAACACACATTATACAATCTCATATGTTTAAAATTTTATATGAAGGTTTACATTCACCGGTTCGCAAGGCCGCGAGCGTCCAACCGTTTATGAAAACTGACAACCATTTTCTCTTTTTTTAAAATAGTGCGACGAATGAGCTTATGTTTGTTAAACAAAGTAAGTCAAGGCACTTCTGTTTGTTGAAAAAGATGGGTCGATAGCTGAACAAAAGCGACAAGAAAATACTATAAACTCTAAAAACCATAAACCTTAAAACCTATTTTGAGAGAAACGTAAAAAAAGTACTCTTTGAAGATGAACGGAACGAGAATGACGAACTAACCTTGATGGAACTTAACGAGTTAATAAAGCACATGAATGCCAATGAGGAGGGTACTGTCTGCAATGCCGAAGATGAAAAGTTAATTTGAAGATGAAAAATGATCCGACTCCGACGCCACAACTTTTGATCTGCCGAATTCAAAATTTTTACCTTTGGATGGAGTCAGGTTGGTGGGCTCGTAAGAGAAAAAATATATTAATAAGAAATCTATATTAAATATTGTCTATGAGCTTCACTGACAAGTGCAAAATAAAATATGAAATTCACTTATCAAGGTTTCATTGAAATCCGGATGTAGAGTTAGATCCAAAGAGAAGAGTATGGGAAACATGATACTCAGTGATGTATGCGATGGTAAAAAGTAATACGGCCGGCGGTGAGAGGATGAAGAGGATTTTACTTTTAGAGAAGTTAACTATCTGACATTCTGACTATTCTCAATTTTTTTTTTTTGGGACATTTAGGTCATTTAAGGCAAACTCACACACACTACGCATACACATAGACTCGAACCCTGAACCTCATAGTTGGAAGCCTAAGCTCTCAACCAATAGTCCAAGGAGAGTTGTGTGACTATTCTCAATAACTTGAAGCGTTTTTCAAGTGAATTTTTTAGTTATAAAAAAGAATTAGGCGAAATAGAAAAACTAAAAGACCTAAATCACTAATAACTACGAGAAATGGAGAAGAGGGAGCACATGGAAAGGGCATTTCAGTAACTTCAGCTTCGCAGTTCGAAATAATTAAACCCTTATTGGTTAGCGCGTTGCGTCGAGCGTCATATGCTGAATTTTACCGCTGGTTTTTCCAATCGGATGTTAGTCCGAAGCCGTCATCGTCTTCCTTTCCACCCATCCAAACCCTAACCAAAGTCATTTTCTTCCCCATCCCCTTTGAATATTATCAATTTACTGTTCCACGAGCAGACCTTAGGTCAAAAGTTATTGTATTTAAGGCATTAATTAAAGGTGGGCGGGAGGAAGATGTCACCTTCGTACCATTTTTGCCCTTCACAATTTCTGGACTCGGTCAGAGGATTGGGGAAAACCATAGATTACCGCATGCGATCTTCTTGGAAGAGGAATACAAGTTCCTGTTTTTGGATTTCTAGGATTTTGCTTGGAACGGCGAATTTGCGGAGGTATTGTGTGCTTGAACATCTGGAGCTTGTAAATTGTGGGATTCTAGCCAGTTGTTGTTTGAATTTTTTTAGTGTTTTTCCTTATGTCTTTTTTATTAAAGGAATGATGAGATTTTGATGGGCTTTAATGACGATTTAATAGGAAAGAGCTTGATGGTTTCTTACTTACATGTAGTACCTGGCAGATATTTAGTCCTTATTTTTCAAGCATTCAGATTGTATGATTCCTTGTAATCAGGATATGATTTCCCTCACTTCGTTTCTAATTCTTGCTTTATCTGGAGTTAATTGTAAGTTGTCTTTGAGCATATGAAGTTTTTTTTTTTTTAAACAACATGGTTCTAGAGTCTGATGTTCTAAATCATCAAACTACAGCTTATTTTTACTTCTTATACTGCTATTAGCCTCTTTGATTGTGATATGGATTTCAGGATGTCCTTCTTTTGCTATTTTTTACTTTACTAAGTGCAAGCAAGAGCTTGAGTTTAAACTTTGTGCGCTGCAATTTTTTTGTTTTATTTACTTTGAATTTGGAACTGCTCGTGATCTCAGAGCTTCAACCTCGAGATTCTGCCTGGTGGTTTTGATATTGCTAAGAGATGTCTAGAGTTCAAATTATGTTATTTGGAGCAGTTGTGGCTGTTTCATGCTGGTTTCTTGTGCAGCCTGCCATAGCACAGATAACTGATCCGTCTGAAGGTAAATGCAAGCGTGCTTTTTTTCTTGTTTATGTGCACTTTGAATCAGTTTTCACTGCCAAGTTGATGCATGTGGTAATATGAGTTCTATTTCCTTTTTTTATTTTCTTAAAATAATTTCTTTTCATGGTGCCTACTTTCAATTCTTTCACACTCTTTTGATACTTCCTACTAATATTCATTGAATTTCATAAAATATCAAACTAGACCATTTAAAATATATATTTAGACTCTGCTGTACCAATTTTATTTTTACAATATTTTCAGATTATCCTGATACCGGAGTTTTAATAATCAATTATTTATCTTTTAAAACTTTGGGTTAGCTGCTGTTTTAGATGCGCGCGCGCGCGCGCACACACACACACACACACACACACACACACACATATATATATATATATATAGATTACTTTTTACTCCTGATTTCTATCTTGGCTACTTTTTTACTCTCGGAACTAGCTGTTCTTAGTCCGATCTGTAAAGTTCACGGTTTATTTCTTTTAGGTTATTTTGTTAAGGAATCAATATCACTCTTAGGTCACATGGAAGAGACAAACATCAGGCTTTGCACGAAAGGGAATATTATAGTGATTATTTCTTATATAATGAAAATGTTATTCTTCTAAACCATTAGTAAGAAAATTGACTATATCTTTTATTGTTTATTCCAAAATTTATATCACATGAAAAATCATTATCTTCTCTTTTCATGTTGAAATGAAATTTAATAGATTTATCCTCTGCAATCCCATTGTAAACTCATGCATGTGTATTTCTTTCATTTCCTATATCTGTTTCATTAACTTTTCAAAATAAAGTTGTTCTTAAAACTTAAATAAATTAAAACTATAATAAAACCTTTCAAACAATCTTGAATAATACTAGATAATAAAAAAATATCGATGCATGTTTTGTACTCTATCAATACTCCTTAGGCTGATAACTCTTTTCTCCTTTAAGAGTTATGTAGAAGGCTATTTTTTAAGGTTAGTTTTTATGGAGTTGGTGGGGAAGTTGTTTCATGGACATCTTTGAATCTGCAGTATGTGCTTATTGAACACAATTCTTAGAATATGGTTTATTTTAGCCATTTCCATGCTTATTACAACTTTCTTTTATCAATACATTTAGTGAGTCTCATTGTCTCCGGACAATATTATAATTGGTATCACAAATTCAATTTATATTTTTCAAGAGAGAGCTTACAATAGTTTTAGAACATGTGGAACAACTTTATATATGGATAAAAATATTACAATTATGTCATAATCTATGAATTAATCTATTTATTTACCTCAATAATATGTCTTAGGCTTAACGATAGGCTTGAGCATGATCTTAGTTTAGATTTAGGAATAGTTTTAGGGTTAGGCTGAGCAAGAAGCTCGATTGTTTATAATTGATTATCATCATCATCAAACTTATCTATAGAACATGTATTATCATAATAATAACTCTCGTAGACTAGTTGATTACAAGGATCAGATTTTCTAACTTGTGGAGATGACACAATTTTGAATGTCTACAAATTTATTTTTATCTTTACAGTTAGAGAGATTAGCATATAATATGATCTTTCATCTTATTGATATGGTATTTTATGTATGAGTGATCAATATATAAAATTTTCATATGATCCATATTGATGACAACATTATCTATATAAGGTATAATTTTTATCCCATAATTTATTATTATTTTGAATATTTCTAGAAAAGAAAGGGGTTAATAATGTTTATATTTAAGTCATTAAGGATATGTATGATGGAGTTGTTACGGTGTTCAAACACAAGGTGATTTGACCAAGTATTTTTCTATTTTCAGTTGGATTACATCAAGGATCAGCCTTAAGTCCATATCTTTTTGCTTTATCATGGATGTTCTTACTAAGCATTTGCAAGACGATGAACCCTGGTGCATGCTTTTTGCTTATGATATTCTTTTTGTTGATAAGACTAAAGAGGGAGTTAAAGGTAAACTTGAATTATGGAGGTCAACCTTAGAGTCCAAAGGTTTTCATTTGAGTAGATCTAAAACCGAGTACATGGAGTGCAATTTTAGTAGTAATATACCTAATGGAGAGATTGTGGCTTTGGACGATCAAATCATTAATAAGAGTACACATTTTAGATATGTCGGGTCTATTGTTTAGAGTGATGGTGAAATAGATGGGGATATTATTAGTAGAATTCAAATTGGATGGTTGAAGTGGAGGAATGCATCAGGCTTGTTGTGTGATAGAAAAGTACCCCTCAAACTTAAGGGAAAATTCTATAAGATGGTGGTGAGACCTGCAATGCTTTATGACGTAGAATGTTGGCCATAAAAGAGAAGCATAAATTAAGTTAAGTGTTGCCGAGATGAGGATGCTTAGGTGGATGAGTGGCTTTACTCTTAGAGATAGAATATGAAACGTGCATATGCATGAAAAGCTTGTAGTAATTCTAGTGGCAGATAAGATTAGAGAGTCGCCTTAGATAGTTTATTCACATAAAATGTCGGCCTTCTGATGACCCGGTTAGGATAGTAGATGTATTAGATTTGGTTTATGTTAAGGAAGGTAGAGGTAGACCTAAAAAGATTTGGTTAGAAAATATTTGAATTGACCTTTCTTTATTAGATTTAAATGAGAATTTGACTCTTAATAGGACACAATTGAGAAAATTTTTGAAAGGATTCATGTAGCCAACCCCACGTTTTGGGATAAAGGCTTGATGTTTTATTATTATTTTTAATTTGGTGGAAGGAGTGGTGTGGGATGGGTAAGGGGAAGCATATGGGGTGGGTTTGATTTACAATTACTTTTTCAAAAATTGCTTTAATACTACTTGTTGTGAAAGAAGAAATGTATAATTTTAAATTAAAGCTAATTGGATGTAGTTTTGAATATTGTCCCTTGATTTTAGAAATTGCATATGCAGAAGATTTTAGTTGTAGGAAAATTTCTAGGATTTGATGTAATCCCTATAACATGATGACGAGACTCGAGAGTCCATAATAAGATGATTGGTAGAGTTTTCTTGCCGTAAGAAACTCCTCTCATCTGATTTTTTCCTTCAACTAGTAGTTTTCTACAGTAATCATGATTAACCATAGCTCTCACAATTGCTACAATGCTCGTAGTTGCCCCACTTCCAGTGGTTTGGTAAAGTGGCTGCAATCACTACAGTGGCATGCTATTGCTTTAGTATCGAGTAGAGAGGAAATCTTTTAGGAAAGCTTGAATTATTTTTTTATGATAATAATAGCCTATTTGTAAAAAGAAAAGCTAGTAACTAATTTAAATGTTACCTTATCTTCTTCTAAAATAACCCCATCGATTAGAAACAATTTTATCCATAAATTCACTACTTTGGAAAAGTTTATCTATCCAAAACTACTACAACAACAACATCAAGCCTTTATCCCACTATGTGAGGTCGGCTACATGAATCCTTTTTCTCCATTGTGTCCTATTTAAGGTCAAGTTCTCGTTTAAATCTAAAAATGAAAGATCATTCTTAATATTTTCTAACTAAGTCTTTTTAGGTCTGCCTCTGCTTTTCTACCTATCCAAAACTAATTCCATTAAAAAAATTTAAATTGAGATGCAAAATACAAACTTACCCAAGATAAATTCAAAAGTCTTCCCTATCTCGTTGTCCTTATTGCCATCCAACGACTTAACTTTCATGTCACTTGATATTGATCATCAAATGTTTGACCAATGATTCATCTTCACCTGTAGATATCTAATGGCTTGATCTTCCTATCCAACATTATGATTTGAAAAATTCTTTCAATAAGAACCTTCCAAATCATGACTCACTATTTTAGTCGATTGACTATTGCAAATGAGTTTCTTTTTTTGGCCTTTAGATTTATTCTCTCTTTTCTTCCTTATAGCTAAGGCTTTTGTTTTTACTCTAATGCTTCATTTTCTTGGACACAATGTGGATTAACAATTATGATGGTGCTTTTTGTGCTTTAATCATTAGGAAGAGAACTCTTGATTACTATTTGGTATAATCTAATCTCATGGTCTTTTCCACCCCCCTTGAAGGTGGAATAATAGACCAACTTACTTCATTTTTTCATTTTTCCCTCGCTTTATATGCAAAAAAAATGTTATCTTCTTTAGAAGATAGCATCCCTATCACATAGGCGTGGACTGCCCAAAATTAAATGATTTACATCTCACGGAGCAATTTCACAAGCTACTTCATCAGTAAAATCTATCCAAAAAGTAAACATGATACTATGTTGTCAAGTGATTTAACTAATATTACGATACTATAACTATCTCGAAGACTAAGATTTTGATTGTGAGTTGCAACTAACTCCAATCTCTCAACCAGAGTGTCATAGACAAGGTTCTTTTCATTACATGAATTCAAAACGATATCAATGGTGTTAGATTTCATTAGAAGGTGAAGGTTGAATAATTTTTCTGATAGGAAATACTTGAGTTTGCAAGCACACCTACCACTAATTGGAAGAAAATAGTAGGAATAAAACCAAAATCTGGGTGAAATCAGCCCCAAAATAGTGGATTGCAACAACGGAAATAAAACAAAACTAACACAAAGCAAGATACAAGTGATCCTCTATTCGAGAGGAGGATCGTTCTCTCCCAATCTCTAGACGTAAGGTCTAGAGCCCTCAAACCACAAAAGACTCCAAGAGAAACTCAAATTTAGCATATCTCTCCCTTCCCCCTACCTCTCTTATTTATAAGCTCTCCACCGCCCACCCCTTTCCTTAAAAAAAAAACAATATTCAAATAAATTTAAATCCAAGGGGTCCCACATATAGGCGGCAAGCTCAAATAGGTAAGAGGGAGGCGGTTTTGAACCGCCTCCTATAGTAAATTGTCAGCCCAGGTGGGTCCGACTGAGGCGGTTCTCTCTGAACCGCCATATCAATACCGCCCTCCCAAAGAATCACCTTGTCCTCAAGGTGAAAATTAGGAAATTGCTGTTTCACCCTCTCGTATGGCTCCCATGTGGCATAGCAGTC